GTAAACATTTACGTGGGAAGACTGTAGGATTATAAACATTTACGTGGGAAGACTGTAGGATTATAAACATTTACGTGGGAAGACTGTAGGATTATAAACACTTACGTGGGAAGACTGTAGGATTATAAACACTTACGTGGGAAAACTGTAGGATTATAAACACGTACGTGGGAAGACTGTAGGATTATAAACACGTTAATCCTACAGTCTTCCCACGTATAAACACATACATGGGAAGACTGTAGGATTATAAACAAGTACATGGGAAGACTGTAGGATAATAAACAAGTACATGGGAAGACTGTAGGATTATAAACAAGTACATGGGAAGACTGTAGGATTATAAACAAGTACATGGGAAGACTGTAGGATTATAAACACGTACATGGGAAGACTGTAGGATTATAAACACGTACATGGGAAGACTGTAGGATTATAAACAAGTACATGGGAAGACTGTAGGATTATAAACATGTACATGAAAAGACTGTGTGATAATATAACAAGTTTTAATGTGCAATATGTTAGAAAATGGAATAAATAACACAGTGTAATACTAGTACCTCTTGGAATATACATTCATATGCACTAAGTTTTGTTCAGAACTCCCCTCCTCAGGTGCATTAATGCCTCAAAAACCATAAATATCAACTCTTTAAGCCAATACTTTTTTTTGCATGTTCTGCCGGAATTATTTTCATGATTTCATACTAATTATCACCATACTATATAAAATTTCAAGTTTCTTAATTTTGGATTAGTTTAAGCCAAGGGGACGTAAATTTTATCGGCTGATGTCACCATCCGTAGGATAAATCAGGATTTTCAGACGGGTGCCGGTAGCATCCACTCAGGTTTAAGGATTTAAAATAGAGGTTCAGAGAAAAGGTGGAAAGACAAGTTGTAACTATTGTAGTAAAAACAGGGACATAATAAATACAAATAATGTATTATATAAGTATTAGGAAAAATAACATTAACATTAAAACACACAGTTTTTATTGTAATAGAATTATGTCATAGCTAAATAGCAATACACAGTATCATGGCAACAATACATAAACAACTGGTTTTAAATACACTATAAAAGTATTTTAATAATTTAAAAGATAATAATATAAATTAGAATAAAGTTAATCAGCAGTTGATTACTTTTATAGCTCAAACTCTGTATTTGCATGAAGAATCTTGTAATTTCATGTTCGACCATATGTTGCAATGCTTTAAAGCAGCCAAACATACAGATAATTTCATGTTCAACCACTTGTTGCAATGCTTTAAAGCAGCCAAACATACAGATAATTTCATGTTCAACCACTTGTTGCAATGCTTTATTTAAGTTCTGAAGCACGATACAACAGCAACAGTATCCAAAAGCAGTATATAGAATGGTCTTGTTTATTGAAAAATGTGGGACAACTATTTGTCTGGATCATTTTTTTTTACAATACTCCTGATGTATTCCTGCCCTCTTAATTCCATCAGTATATAACTAGTATTGCCCACATATAGCTGATCTTAGTATATGCAAATAATCCAATAAACTAGACACTTGAATAAACAAACATATGAACCTCAGAAATAATATGTGGACTTTGGTCTCATGACACAAGTTTTACCATCCATGTATAAGAAAACGTTGGATGGTTCACTTTCAAGAAAAAGGCAACTATGTACTAATAGGTACGACAACCAATGATCTTACCATGTCTGTACGAAACAATGAGGTTTTCTGTGAAACTGCACCTGACAACTGTTTGTCCTGCAGTATTTCGTAATTTCTCAAGATTTGTTCATACCTTTGCTGCTTTTAGGAAGATATGTGGGCACATGGGACCCGTGAGGTGGTTTTATTTATTTATATCACTTATAGGGACCTGTGATGGAGTTATATATTACTTACAGGGGCCTGTGAAGTGGTTATATATTACTTACAGGGACCCATTATGTGGTTATATATTTCTTACAGGGACCCGTGATGTGGTTTTATATATATATTACTTACAGGGGCCTGTGAAGTGGTTATATATTACTTACAGGGACCCATGATGTGGTTATATATTTCTTACAGGGACCCGTGATGTGGTTTTATATATTTATATATCTTACATGGGCCTGTGAAGTGGTTATATATTACTTACAGGGACCCATGATGTAGTTATATATATATATATATATATATATATATTACTTACAGGGGCCTGTGAAGTGGTTATATATTACTTACAGGGACCCATGATGTAGTTATATATATATATATATATATATATATATTACT